AATTTGTTTCCCCCTTCTCTCTCAAGGGTTTTTCCTTTCACCTCCATTTCGACTCCACTGGAAGTTGCGCGATCTTCTTCGCCACGGAGCCGATGGACGTCGCTGTACTCAATGCTGCTGTTCAGACCTGTTACGCTGCAGAATCTAACGAAGTAGCAGTAAGTCGATTGTTTATGGCTTCTCGTAGAATTGAAACGATTAACGAGTAAATCCACCTCTATGCGGTCTTAATGCGTGCTGTTCGTCGCTTGATTCGATTTGGGCGTTATCTTTTTGCAAATAAGAATGCTAGGGTTTAGTATTTCTGATACGAGTTAGTAATTTATTATAGCTTTGAAGGTCGCTAAAGATCTTGGTTGATCTTTTCGTCGGTTGTTTGTGATTTCAGCTTTGTGTCGTCGGCTGTTTGTGATCTCTGTTCTGTGTCTTCGCTTGTTTGTGATTGATCTTGTACTCTGGATATGCACTAAACAGTTTTGCTGCTTTTACTATGCTGCGTTGATGTTGTTCTGATAAAGCTCTCGATGATATCGTTTTGCTGCTTTACTTTAACATCTTTCGTATTTGTCTTTTCCATGTGTTTCTTTGAAAACCCAATTTCAGAGAGCTGCTGCTTATAACTTACTGCGGGATTGGAAAGATAATCCTGATACTTGGCTTCAAGTGCCTCACATTCTACAGAACGACGCCAGTAGTACGCATACCAAATTTTTTGCTCTTCAGGCAGGTTACAGTGTTTTCATATATTGTATTTATCCCGTGTCGTCTTCTCTTTATCTAGCTGATGATTTCTCTTCCCATTGTTGTATATATCATCCATATGTTTTGAGTCGCTTGCTAGGGAATGTTCTTATGGATTCCACTTTCAGGTGCTAGAAGATGCTATAAAATACAGGTGGAATGCGTTACCCGTTGATCAACGTGCTGAACTGAGAGGCTACATATCCGATTCCGTTGCCAATGTATATATTTGACAGACAGCCATTAGGTTACTTAATTTTTTGTTAGAACAAAGATCTTAGGCTAACTGAATTGTTTTGGTTATGAATTTACTGTGTAGCTCACAACAGATGAAGCATCTTTCAGATCGGGTAGGCTCTGTGTCAACAAGTTAAATTTCATCCTGGTTCAGGTATCTTCGCGGTTTCCTGCTAATCATTGAGATTTCTGCTCATTTGCATTGATTCCTTCTTGTGTCTTTCCTATCTATCTACTCCTGATGTTTTTCTCTTGTAAGGCTTTTCTGAAGCCAACTCCGCCTGAATATCTTTGTCCCTTCCTGCCAATTGCTTGAAAATGTTTGTTTAGTCTTTGGGAATAACATATACCGTGATGCCTGTACAGATTGTGAAACAAGATCCGCCTGCTATGCTGAGAACCTTTATTCATGGTCTTTTTATTCCTGCTGGCGACATTATCCATGAGAATTGCATGGTTATTTTGAAAGTAAGTATTGTCTAAATGCCTTTGCATTAAGTTTGTGATTTACTTGAATAACAATTCTTCTTTTCTTTAGCTTCTAAGTGAAGAGGTTTTTGATTTCTCAAGAGGAGAAATGACTCAGCAAAAGATAAAACAGCTGAAAGAGCTTCTAAACAGGCAAGTTAGACTTTTCAGGAAGTTTACCTTTTCAGCAGAAGAATGTTTTAGCAAGAACGAACTATGTTCAATTATCTTGCCGCTATTTGGAACTCTTGCTATATCCATATATACTTAAAACTAATTTGTTCTGCTTTCTTATGCGCAGCGAGTCTCAACTCATTCACGAATCATGCGTAAATGTTCTCTCAACTTCCCAAAAACCAGAGCTTATACGAGCAACACTCTCTGCAGTGCATGCCTATCTTTCTTGGATTCCGTCTCCCCATTTTTTTGACCCCCCCTTGGTAATATATTCTGGATAAGAGCGGTTAACAAGCCTCTTAATTACGATATCCCCATTACTGATCTGGTTATGCGCAGCTGGAGACCCTCCTTCAGCACTTCTCTGTGGAGGCACATAAGAATCTCGCTCTTCAATGTCTGTCAGAGGTATGCCGGTTTGTAGTTCAGATTTTCCTGCTGTCGCTATTTCACTGTCATTATCTAATGACTTATCTTTTTCCGGCAGGTTGCAGCACGTAATCCTGGGGACTTATACAACATGCGATATGTCAACATGTACAGCGAATTCATCACGATGTTGCAGGTAGTGCTGTTTATCTTTGTTTTGTTACTTCTATTTGTTTTCTTGGTCTTGGTTCATTGATGTTTCTACTATATGAGTTTCACTTTTATTTTGTTAATGTAATCTATCTGGTCGTTTATCCGTTCTTTACGGTATCCGAATTTCATGTTACTTTGGCTTCTTGATTTATCCCCATACTTGTTTATGTCTGCAGGCAATCCTTCCTTTGGATACAGATATCCCTGCGGCATATTCAACTGGAACTAGTGAAGATCAGGCATGTTTTTTCTGTGCATTACGTTCCGGCCATGCCATTCTTTCTTTGTAACCTTTCGAGATAATGTCTGTACATCTTCTTTACCMTCTAGGCTTTTATCCAGAACTTGGCCCTGTTTTTCACTTCGTTTTTCAAGGTAATTCTCTTTCTTTGTTGCATCAGATATGTTATGTGGTTCTTCCTGGAACTTTAGGCTTCAGATGTCCAACCGAGGGATGATTGTTTACATTTTCCTTTTCTAGTCTCTTTTTCTTTCATGTATTCTATGCATTTTAATCATAGTAATGTGATTGACAAAAAAAAAAAAAAATCATAGTAATGTGCTCTATGTTATTTGTTTACAGTTACATAAACGAATCCTAGAATCTGCTCCCGAAAATGTTCTTTTGTTACGTACCGGTCTGGAATATCTCACTCACATATCATATGTTGATGACAATGTAGTATTTAAGGTATGTGTGTTATAGTTGTTAATACTTTTTTGCTGTTTATGTTAGGAATGACCTCATGTTATTTGTCAATTATGTGGAAACTGACAGCTTCTGCTTGCTTACGAATGAACAGGTTTGTTTGGCCTTTYGGGATCCATTAGTTTTGGAGTTGTGTGAGTCGCATCATCATGCTGAGCACTCTGCACTGATTACACGCCCGTTTGTATTGATGGTATGAATTTTTTTCTGTTATGAATTCACTCTGCATCATAATGAGTTCTTTTATAAGATGGAAACTACGGTTGTCTATTGTACTGGTTGAATTTGCTTTGATGTGGTTACTCACCTTGGGCCTTGATTTGCCTTCTGTCAGATGAATTACTTTCAAAAATTTTGTGGCGGCACAGAGCGGCAAAATATGTATTCTCATATATTGTCAAGGTTAAGGAGGCTCATGATTAGTCGCATGACTAAGCCTGAAGAAGCGCTAATTGCTGAGGACGAAAATGAGAACATTGACCATCTCGAGTATAAGGTACCTACTGTACATATATGGCTTATCTTCAGTTATATATATAGATATACTAGGTCCTCCACTCATGGCATAGATTTATACATAGTTATTAACCAAAGTATACTATGAAATATAATTTTTAATAATTTACGAACTGTATATATTCATGATTGCTTAAATTTCACAATTTTTTCTTTATCTGTTACCTCTTGTCTATTAACATACTAAACACAAACTTCAATGCAATAAAAATTAACATCATAACTATAAATGGATG